TAACTTTTAGGTGTGCTCGTCCTTAGCCATTTTAGCTAAACCATGAATAATCTGCAAATCTGTTTTTGGAATGCGAACGAGATACCCCAGCATAAGAACGAACTAGAAATTTTCCTAGAGCGATATTATATAGATATTTTGCTTGTATCTGAAACCCACCTTACGCAATTTAATAACTTTCAAATTAATGGGTACAAATTCTATGATACTAAGCATCCACAAGGTAAAGCCCGAGGTGGAACAGCTATTCTCATTCGTAACAGAATAAAGCACTATGAATTAGAATCGCAAAGTGATGAGTTCATTCATAACACTGCAATACACATTGATGACCACTTGGGAGGCTTTACTGTATCTGCCATATACTGCCCCCCTCGTCATAAAATAACAGCAAAACAATTTAATGACTTTTTCCTAAAGTTTGGCAGTACGTTTATTGTAGCAGGAGATTACAATGCCAAGCACACATTCTGGGGATCTAGATTGATTACACCAAAGGGTAGAAATCTACATAAAGTAATCCAGAACAGAGGATTTGACGTCATGTCTACTGTGCAGCCAACGTATTGGCCATCTGACCCCCAAAAAATACCCGATCTTATTGACTTTGGTGTAACAAAACGTATTGCGCGCCACCCAGTTAATACTGAAACCCTATTTTATCTCTCTTCAGATTACCCCGCAGTAGCCTTACCACAAATCCGCTTCGGCTTTAAAATAGAGATTTAATTAACACCACTGTTCATGATATTCAGAAGAATAAAGCGCCTGGTTACGATAGGATTTCAGGTGAAATTATAAAGGAGCTTCCACAAACTGCCGTACATTTTTTGTTATATATTTTTAATAACATGCTTAAGTTGGGACACTTCCCCGACTTATGGAAACTTTCGGAAATAATTTTGGAGCCAAAGCCAGGCTAAGATCCGACGGTAGTAAGTTCATATCGGCCGATTAGCTTGATTTCTGTATTTTCCAAAATATTTGAAAAACTTGTATTGAAAAAAATACTACCTTCACTAACAAGTAACCCAATAATACCACCATATCAGTGTGGTTTTCGTGAAAAACATGGCACTGTAGAACAAGTTCATAGAATTGTTTCTCGTATTGGAAAAGCTTTCGAAGGGAAGCAATACTGCACCGGTTTATTTTTGGACATCTCTCAAGCTTTTGACAAAGCCTGGCATGATGGCCTTATATACAAACTAAAGGTTCCACTCCCTGCAAATACGCATATAATTCTGGAAAGCTATCTGCTGGGGAGAAACGTCAGAGTCAGGCAGAATTCCTTTAGAACGGAAAGTCACCCAATATATGCAGGTGTTCCTCAAGGCAGTGTGATTTGCCAATTGGTGATAGTCTAACCATCTCAACATTTGCTGATGACACAGCTATCCTAAGCAATAGTTCAGACCGTAAAGAGGCTTCTTACAAGCTGCAAGAATATTTGAAAAAGTTAGAGCTATGGCTAGGTTATTGGAGGATAAAGGTTAACGAAAGCAAGTGTGTGCAGACAACATTTACTTTGAAGAAAGAAACTTGCCCACCACTAAAAATAAACAGCAAGGCTATACCATAAAAAGATAGTGTCAAATACCTTGGGATGACACTAGATAGAAGACTTACCTGGAAAAAGCATATAGAAAACAAAATTTCTCACACGGAACTAAAATAAGCAAGCCTTCATTCGGTTATAGGAAACAAATCTAAATTAAGCCTAGATGACAAGATGTTGCTTTTTAATATGATGATTAAACCATGTTGGGCATATGGAATCGGGCTTTGGGGCACAGCGTGCAATTCCATTTTGAACAGACTTCAAAGACTGCACTGTGCCATATGCGGAGCACCTTGGTATATAAAAAATACGAATATCCACATAGATCTTAATGTAAATACGGTGCATGAGGACATAAGAGGGCTAAGCACCAGTTACTTAGCACGGTTAATGAACCATCCAAATCGACTAGCTAGAGATCTTCTTAGCCCGAGATAAGCAAGAAGACTAAAAAGAAAGGATTTCTCCAATATCATCAAATGATGCGCAATATAATAAATTTCGATATCCGCAATATTCTAATCTCGGCTCTGGAACTCGTCCTTTCAGACCGACTACCCAACACCAGTGAACTTAAATATAGAGAAGCGAAGGCGCGGCGTGGAGACTAGGTTTTCCACCCGCCCAGGCAGTGCGGCTCTGGAACTCGTCCTTTCAGACCGCCTGCCCAGCACGATATCCAGCGATCCTGCTGCTCGGAATCTTGTCCATTCCGAAAGGGCCCAACAGCTGTAACAAATATATATGTATGAAAACAAAAAATTTCTAAGCATTGCCGCAGAAATTTTAAATTTAATAGTAGTTTGTAAGATTAGAAAACTTATTATTAGTTTCGAAAGAAATATTCAAGAAATAAATACATATTATACAAAAAAAATAGTTTTGAGATCATTTTTTGGTTTTGTTGTATTCTTTTATTGCATGCCTTGAACTTTTTTCATTAAGTTATAACGGTGAAGATATGCCTTCTGCCTTTGTCAAGCACTTAACATAGGTTCGAGAATTTAGCCTATGCGCGTAAAAGCATAGAGTAGGTATACGCGATTCTCCAACATCTTTTCAAAGTAGAATACATATTGGTCGCTATCACGGAATCCATCGTAGTCCGATTTTTCATAAAACCTACGAAAAAGCGATCACTGAATCTGAACTGCTACGAACGTGTATATTCAAAGCCCAGAAACTCCAACAAACGACAAATAGACTCTCCAATAATAGTCGAACGTAAATGACCAACGTGCATCATTCCCTAGACAGCCGGTTCTACGTACCGGAATGACTCGGGTTTCACCCGACCAAGGGCTGTTGTTTCGGCGACCTAACCCCGCTTAGATCGGCGATACCCCTCAATCATTTTTCGTCCATGGAGCAACTCCTTGCAGCCGGATTGCTCCGCATCCTTCTTCTCCGGGCGGGCCTAGAGCCCAACCCCGGACCAGAATCGTATTTCTGCTGTGTTTGCCAGAATCGACTCCATCCAAACTCCACTTCGGTTAGGTGCAACTCATGCAACGGATGGAGTCACCTAAGAACCTGCTCTGGTCCTAGGTCTCACCGGGAGTGGACCACAAGCTATGTGGCTCCCTGCTGCTCAAGCCAAACGGCACAATCAGCCTCCACGGCTACCCGCTCGCGCAACGCACCCAACACCCGAAGAGCCTGCACGGCTCCGAGAAGCTCCTCTGGGCAGCAGCAAACCTCCCAACCCCCCCTCCCCCACAGTCGACCGGCCTGTCTAACTCGCGCTTGCGAGCTAACCAGCAGCTCCTGGTTGCACACACCACCTGCACCGTATGCCGGAGCAGAATATACCGGAACGTGACATCGGTCAAATGCGACTCATGCCTAGGCTGGTGTCACTTCCGCCTATGCTCCGGTCTACGCACCACGCGCGAATGGACTGCGAACTACAGCGCCCCATGCTGCAGAGCGCCACTGACGCAGACAACAGCGCCCCCATTGCAGCCACCTACCCACAGGCAGCAACAGCAAGCGCGTCAGATGCAACAGACCGAAGGTAGACCTCACTCCTCCCTCACCCCCCGTATCGCGACCAGCCTGCCAAGGCATACGAAACTCCTACAACTCAACTGCAACGGACTCCAGAGCATGGCATATTGATAGCTGCGGTCCAAGAATCGAAGTTGCACAGCAACTCAACTCTATTGGGTTGCGCCGCCTACAATGTGCTCCGTAAAGATCGCGAGCGAGATAATGGTGGTGGACTAGCGTACATCTTACACCACACAGTGCAGTATCGGCTTATCGAGAAGACATCGACCCGAGGGACACCACCCTAGAATGTCAGGGCATAGCTGTCCGGTCAGGCGATGTCGAGCTCGAAATATTCAACGTTTATATACCCCTTGTCACCTGCTGCCCGGCAGGATATCACCCTGACATAGGTGCGCTACTCAGAGGTGAAAACCGAATGGTAGTAGGTGACTTCAACGCGCACCACGATCTATGGCACTCATCCCTGGCCAATGACCGTAGGGGAAACCTTTTGGCTGAGCAGATAGAAGATTCGACATTCTGCACCATGAACGACGACGCCCCCACCAGGATTATGGGTAGATGGAGCAGCTCGCCAGACCTAACAATTGCTAGCGCTAGTTTGATCAATAGCATCTCATGGCGACCTATGCTAACCCTAGCATCAGACCATCTACCCATAGTCATCTCGATCAATAAGCCCACCGACTTTGCTCCCGCGAGCCACCGAACCTACACCAACTTCAACAAAGCTGATTGGGACGGCTTCGCGGAAGTCACCGAGATCAGCTTCGCCGCCCTTCTCACACCCACAAACATACACTTTGGCGAATGCCAGTTCCGCAGGGTAGTCACTGCCGCAGCGGCTCGCTTCATCCCGTCCTTACGCATCGCCCAAATTTCCCGGCCGAAGCAGCTGTACTAGCAAATGAGCGTGATCACCTACGCCAGGTCGACCCCGGGGACCCCCGTCTGAGGGACCTTAATTTGGAGATTCGACAACTGGTAAATCAGCATAAGCGGAAAAAGTGGGAGGAGCACTTGAAGGCCTGTAACTTCACATCTGGTGTGAGTAAGCTCTGGTCAACCGTGAGGTCCCTGTCCACCCCAACGAAGCGTGATGACAGAATGGAAATCTCTTTCGAAGGTCGCGCTTCGTCGGACCCATGGCCACTCTCATCATTCCTGATGTGTGGAGGCCTCCTCACTCCCACAGGGACTGAAGCGATGGTCGGCGAATTATATGAGTGGTCGACAGTCGTCAGTAATCTTCCGAGATCAAACCTCGAAACCAAGAAGGATTAAACAATGGGTTTCACAAGGTGGTGTTCTCTCCCCCTTACTATTTAACTTCTACATCTCGAAACTTCCTCAACCACCTGAGGGAGTTTCCCTGATCTCATACGCTGACGATTGCCCGATTTTGGCGTCCGGGAATGGAATTGATGACCTCTGCTCAAAAGCGAACGACTATCTCTCCAGCCTTTCTCGCTTCTTCACTGCAAGGAGCCTAACACTCTCCCCAACGAAATCAACGGCGACCCTCTTCACCACCTGGACGAAGGAGGTCAGGCTAGAGTTAGGTATACACGTCGATGGCACACCAATACCGACTGTAAACAACCCGAAAATCTTAGGCGTCACCTTCGATAGCCTGCTTTCCTACTCCACGCACACAACCGCAATTGTCAATAAAGTACAGAGCCGCAACAAGGTCCTCAAGTCGCTCGCCGGCAGCACTTGGGGCAAAGACAAAGAAACGTTGCTGGCAACATACAAGGCAATTGGCCGGCCGGTTCTAAACTATGCTGCGCCAGTTTGGACGCCGGGGACTAGTTGGACGCAGTGGACGAAGCTACAGACTTGTCAGAGTGCCGCACTTCGGACAGCGACTGGGTGCCTTCTGATGACGCCTGCGCACCACCTGCACGGCGAGGCCCAAGTGCTCCCCGTAAGGGAACACAACAAAATGCTCTGTAAGCAATTTCTGGTGGGGTGTCACCGAAGTAAACATCCTAACAGACCGTTGCTTCAGGAGGAGCCTCCGCCCAGGCTCGTCAGGGGGCACCTATTCGTGTACAAGGACGCAGTCCAACAGTACGTAGACCAACCATTAGACCCGACGACATACAGACGAGCCATCAACGACATTCATAGAGAGTCAGTTACTACCTACCTCGACTCTCGACCTATGAATGCCGTAATACGAGCCCAATCACCACCTGTAGAAGAGACGGAGCTTCAACTTCCACAAGAGACCCGCGTTACCCTGGCTCAATTACGGTCTGGATACTGTAGCCGCCTTAACAGCTACCTGTCCAGACTCGACCCCAATATCCCCAATGAGTGCCCGGCATGTGGAGAGTCCCCCCACGACACCAACCACCTAATTACATGCCAGCTCAATCCGAATCAACTAACACCCCTCTTCCTCTGGTCCGAACCCATCGAAACAGCTCGTTTCCTGGGCCTCCCGTTAGTTGAGCTTGACGACAATGATTGAACGTAGACCCGAAAAAGGCGGGGCTTAGTAGTGCCGCTACAACAACAACAACAACCAACGTGCATCTCTATGAGATACGTTGCTTGCGGCAAGTTGGCAGGTTAACGCCAGACCGTAAGAGGTTGGAAATCACACGAACAGCATAATCCCTACATTTGACATACAATTTTTTGTAAATATTTGCACTAACATAACCATACACTGTATACCTTTTGAGAAACACATTAATGAAGCGAACGCATGCATCCTCAGTTTAAGCCACAAGTAGCGATTGAATCCCATGTTTATTTATTTCGTTGGCTATATCACTGGGCGATTTATTTGTGCTAGCAGCCTTTAGTGTTTTTGCCAATGACATGGCACTATTGCACTGATAATAACCAAATTTAGCCGCAGTTGCATATCTGGTGTCGGCAAGCTGTGGGAATGCCCAGGAGATGGCGTTTGTTGTGCTATTGAAATCATTGTACCGACGGCGGTGGGCAGCACCGCTGGTACATATTTACCAAAAACAGCAGTGGTTTCGGCGTTTTGTTCTGCAACAACATCCTGCAATGATGAAATGTCCTATAATGTCGACGAACAAAAATATAAAATTTAAAATTATTAACCTTATTCAGAATTGCTAATCGAGATTCATGTTCTCAGTTTCCAACGTTGTATACTCTTGATCATCTTCAATTTCAACTCCCTCGTCATGTTTTGTATTTTCTATTTATGTACGTAAGTGGGCTGTCAGATGCTCTTACAAATACAAATAAAAATGTTTAACATGCTCTACATGTAGCTGGAGCTAATGGCAAATATATTGCAGCCATACTTATTGCTGCAACAGCAGCGAGAGATGTCGAAGGTGTGCATCTTGTCTGTGAATGCGAAAATAGGATATGAATTGGCACTATGGAATTCTAATGCTCACATAATATAATAGATGCGTGGGGATTCATTTACTATAATACTGTCACAACTTAAAAAAATCTAGAATGCAAGAAAAACGGCTTTAAAGTTTTGAATGAACATATACTCCCATAGCAAAAAATCAAATGGTAAATGGTACAGCTATGAAATTTTAATACAAAATAGAAGAAGAGTTAACGTTTATTCTTGCATACTTAACCCGATTTTTTTCTTTGGGCTTATGACACTTTTTTAGTAAATCAGCGATACACATACTTATGTACATATATAAAGTATTTTATATTTCCTACCGGGTTGCTCATGCGGAGTAGTTCTCTTGTGCTCACCAACACAGCCATAGTTTTACTTTTGGCGACCAGTGTTGCCAAGACTGAAAAAATAAAAAAGCTATATTGGCCAAATAAAAAAGCTAACAAATAGCTAAATGGCCTAAAAAAAGGTTAGAGAAAGGCCAGCCCTTTCAACATTTCATTACCTCTCACATATATACAAAGAGGTGATAGAAATGTACCACCGAGAAACAAAAAGTAAATATCTCGACGGCCAAGGTACTTATGATCATGAAATTTCATGAAAGCCTTTTGCAAATAATTTTTGAACACCATACCGTTTAATAAAACCATTTTAACCATTTAGGGTCTGAAAACCCATGGTCCTTAAAGACAAAGTAGTGGTACATTTGTACCACCAAATATCTTCATACATAACAATACGATTACAATCGTGAATGTTTCAATTGGAGCACGCATCGTTAAGAGCAAACCGAATATACACGCAAATGAAGCATGTGACGCAATAGCAGAGGCGATGAAGGGGCTAAGGGCCCCCGGCTTAGCAGCGGCGACTAACTATCTTTCTCCCTCACGATGTAGTGCTTGACGTCATTCCCGTTGAGTGCGGAGTTTCCTGGTTTTATAGGGACAATTGAGAGCTCCTGAAAAACTGTTAAAGGTTAAACAGAACGGGTTCGCTGAGTAAATTTCGTCGAACGGAGCGATGCCGACAAGTGATATTCGCTTAACCTTTCGTCAAGTAAAACTGAACCGGAACAATAATTTAGTGCAACTACAAATATTGAGGAGTATTGTCCTTAAAGAATGCTAGTTTGAATATAAGAAAAGGCTAGAAAAAAGCCACGAAGCTAAATCGTAAATTCCGATGCTAAACGACGAAGAGAAAAGCGAGATCTGGTCTCACAAATGCTAAACTGGCAACACTGTTGCCGACCCCTGATCCACATTCACTTGCCTTTATCTCTCAAGTCGCCTGCGAAATAAGTATATGCATCCTATATACAATACCTTGTGTAAATATGTATGTCCCAGGGTTGTTGCCAATATTCGCATTCGCTACCGCAGAGCTTCCGCATTAATTTTAACATTTTAACAATTCGAATATTGAAGGGGCCGAAAATAACAGTTATTTTTTTACGAGTTAAACTTGGCCAACTATTTTTTATTCCGAGATAAAAACTTTTCCTGATAATAAACAAACCGCTTATCCAAATTAAACAAGTTTGGTATCAAATGAAAAATGACTTAAATAGCTTTTAAACTGAAATGTCTAAACGAGGAAAGCCACCTATTGAAAAATAGTTCAATAAAAAATTTTAATTAATTAATTAATTTATTTATTTATTTTATTTATTTCAGTCTAAAAAGTACAAACTTTCTTACAGACTAGTTAAAAATAGTGAAAAGTTCAAGCTTAAATTTATATATGCTATTATTAAAGTTAAGAAGACCACTATATCGATTTGCTAAGCGTATAGACTTGGAAATGGGTTCATTCAACGCATAATTCGTTCTATGAGTTACTTCAACAAATAGTCTGGTATTCCTTACATCGCGTGGTGGAATGTATGGAATGAATAAATTGGATAAATCAGAGCAGTTTATATTACCGTTGATAGCATTATAGGCAAGCATGAGGGAGATGCAAGTTCTTCGGTCATGCAAAGCCTGAAGGCCGAGCAATTTACGTCTGCTGATGTACGATGGGAGGCCATCAGGCCAATGAAGCATACGCAAAGCAATTTTGGTGAAAATTCTTTGAACTCTCTCAATTTTATACGAATTAGCTTCATAGAATGGACTCCATATAATGGAGCAATATTCCAAGCGACTTCTTACCAATGACGTGTAAAGTACCTTCAGAGTCATAGGATCCTTGAAGTCACAGGAATTACGTCTAATAAACCCAACCATTGCGAAAGATTTCGAAACAATAAAGTCAATATGACCAGAAAAAGAGAGCTGGTTGTCAAAAATTACACCAAGGTCTTTAATTTCCCGACAACGATTTAAAGATCCGGCATTAAGTATGTAGTTAAAAGATGTGATAGTTACCTTTTTTGAATAGGAAACCACGCAACATTTGTTGATATTTAAAAGTAAGTTATTACTTGTACACCATTCGTTAAACGAATCGAGATCATGTTGCAAGTTAACGCAGTCAGAAATATCATGTACGGTTAGAAAGAGTTTGACATCGTCTGCGAACATTAAACATTTAGCAAACTTGAATTTTTGAGGCAAATCATTAATGAAGATTAGGAACAAGAGAGGGCCACAGTGGGTTCCCTGTGGGATTCCCGACCAGGCATTGATAAGCACAGTAGACTGGTTGGCTCCGATTGACACAAAAAGCTTTCTATTCGATAAGAAACTTGAGAAGAATTTCAGCAAACTTCCACACACTCCATACATTTCCAATTTGTGCAATAGCATAGAGTGATCAACCTTGTCAAATGCTTTCGAGAAGTCAGTATATATGACGTCAAGTTGCGCATGGGTTTCGAAGGCATCTACAATTTGGCTAGTGAGTAAAGCCAAGTTAGTAGAGGTAGACCTGCCGGGAAAAAATCCATGCTGACTCCCGACAATAGCCTCCTCAATGAAATCAAACAATTTGCTTTGAATGATATGATCGAATAGTTTTGCCAGAGTACTCTGCTTAACAATAGGTCTGTAGTTGCGAATATCATTGCGATCACCAGACTTGAATACCGGATTTATGGAGCATAACTTCCAAGAGTCTAAGAAGATCCCATAGTTCAAGCAACCCTGGAAAAGAAGTGCCAGGGGTTCTGAAATTGTATTCGAACATAGTTTGAAGAATATGGGAGAAAATCCTTCACTATCTGACTTAGGACTATTATTCAATTTTGAAATTGCCAGAGATACATCATCGGCGGTAATATCAAAAGAAGAAATTCGACCAAGAGAACCAGAGTAGAATGTCGGACTAGGTAAAGATGTATGATTCGAGTATACCTTCTGGAATAAATTGGCAAATAAGTTGCAGATATCCGCCGCATTATTGCACGACACACCGTCATACTCCATGCACGTCGGAAATCCGCTAGTCTTTCTCTTGGAATTAATAACCGACCAGAAACTAGATGGGTTAGTCTTCAATTTTGATTCCAAATTATTCATATATTGTCTGAACAAGAACTTATTAAGACAATTAAAAGTAGATTTAAGCCTGACAAAGTTAAGACGATCGGATTCACTCCTGCTCCTCTTATACTTTTTAAAGGCCTTACGTTTTTTATTTTTAATATTATTAAGTCTAGTATTGAACCATGGTGGTCTATTGCTCAAAGTTTTCCGTTTTCGTGGAACAAAATTGGAAACTGCTAATGAAAGCTTCTGTTTTAGAATTACATAAGAGGCCTCAGGCCCGTTAGTGGAGTCCAAGAAGGACCAATCAGTGCCGAGGAAAAAATCATTTATCGCAGTAGCATCCGCCTTGAAATAATTGTATTCAGAAATATTTGCAACTGTGGTTTTATCAAAGTTATAAAACTCGAAATTTGCAACCAAAGCATTGTGATGGAAACTGTTTTCCAAGATTGGAGATAGACACTCCCGACAAGATATTCTTAGATCATCAGAACCAAAAACGAGATCAAGGAACCTACCATTACTGTTTGGTTGAAAATTGTATTGTTTCAAGCCATACGAGAACAGAGTGCTAACAACAAGCATATCGATATCAGATCTGATATTTGATTGATCAGCTCTAATAGCAATTAAAACACCACCACCCCTCTCAAGACCAGTGGCGTTAGGGCACCGATCATTACGAAATACGTTATAATAGCCGTCGAAGAATTCGTTAGATGAGAAATTTTCATTTAACCAAGTCTCGGATAGAGCTAATATATCATACTCGTGTGAACTGACGTTACGATAAAATTCTGATGATGTAGTACGCATACCACTAACATTCTGATAATAAAGCGCATAACTCGCTTTTGACTTATTAATAGGTTTACTGTTATCTAAGTGAGATCTAGTGACTATGTCTTCAGTTCCAACCTCTTGCGGCCTAACCGGAAAGGGCAAACAGTCACACCGGCAGGCCAAAGCTCTGGATTAAGCATTTTATCAAACCAAGATATGGGAACACCAAGTTTGAATGTAATTCTCTTCAATGATTCCACGGTAGTACCTTTCCTAATAAGCCCGTGGCAAGAAAGCAACTCTCTTTGTATTCCAGAGTATTTGGAAACGTACTCAATAATATTGTCGTTTGTAACGGATAGCAAAAACGACGCAATATAAAGCCATTTAGTTTTTGCAACACTAAGCTCAGTGCTTACATTTGAACCAATAATGCGCATTTTTTTATCATCATTGTTGTTCACTGCAGTTTTTATCCTCGTAGGAGCATTTTGATGATTGTTGTTGCCATTCGCAATGGTAACTTCAACATTAGTGTCAATAACAGCTGACGCAAAAGAAGACGGAGATGCGACGGTATTGATGTGGGACAAATCATTACCTGTACCTAGATTTTTACCACCTTTCTTCTTCCTCGTAACTTCAACCCACTCAGCTTCGGCAGCCTGATCACTTTGAATATCAGTTGCATCGATAATAACAACGCTATCATCCACACCCGTATTGGCTGGTTCAGCAGATAATGGTACATTGTTGTTGTCAAAGAAAACAGGTTTCTCCTTAGCAGCGACATCATCGTTAACATTGTCTTTGTTGG